TGGTGAATTCTCTCACCCTCCCGCGCTTCTGACTGTACCCAGTGCTTGTATAAATAAATAAATCTTTAAAAAAAAAAAAAGAATTAAACATGGATATATGCGCACACATGCGATTATACCAACGTACATACTCGCGTGTGCCCCGCCACAGCAGGCAGCCCTCCTTGGTTCAAAATCTCCAAGAAGGGCTCCTTCAGGCCAGTGTGAGGCAGATGCTTCCCCGTCTGGCCCTTTTCCTGCTGCATGTTAGGACCAGGCAGAAGCAGTCAGCCTGGCCGGGGCTGTGCTGCAGGGAAGGGCGGGTGGGTGTGGTGAGGCGGCTGGTTTCCGGACTCCCTGGAGAAGGGAGAAGATGCAGTGAATAAAATGCAGGTTATTTGTTATTACCCATGGTATGAAATGTGGCTTTTATCTACTTGTTTCTCAATTGCTGTCCAGTCAGTCATCGTTCTAATTCATCTCACTGCAGCTTCTGGGTGTCGGGAACCAGACGCGTCTGGCCTGTGGGGTCAGCTGGCCCGAGAGAAAAATTATTAGGGATAAAAATCTGTGAACTAAGTGCGTGGATGGACTTGTTCCCGGGCTTACTGGGCACGCAGAGCGCGCCTCCACACAAGGCACAGAAGCGTTGTGAAGGCGTTCGTCACCTAACGGGGTGAAACTCAGCAGCCCAAACAGTGTCTTCCAACAGCAGTCATCACTTCTTATCTCGTGGCTTCTGGGGGTCAGAAATTCAGGAGCCTGTCAGGAGGGAGACTCGTGTCACCTCGGCCAGATGTTGGCTGGGGCTGCTGAGGTGTCGGGGCCAGGGGAGCTCTTTCCCTTCATTAATGTGGCCGGTAGTGGCGCTTCTCTGGGGGCTCCTCGGGGTCCTCATGACATGGTGCAAACTCCCCCCCCCCCCCCCCCAGGAGGTGACATGAACCCAGTGGAAGCTGCCCTGCCTCTCACGGCCTGGCCTCGGAAGGTGTCCGCGTTCACTGCCGCCAGACTGTCGGCACAGAGGGAACTGTGGCTCAGCGTGCGCGAGGGTGTGACGCCGGGAGGTGGCATCATTGGCGGCATCTGGGAGGCTGGCACCACAGAGGGCTTCTTCCTCTGACATGGGTCGTTTGACTTGAGGCTTCCTGTATGAGTTGGAGTGTGTCTGGCAGAAAAGGAGACTTTTAGAGGCAAAAGAACAGGGACAGTAAGTAAGTGCATTTGGGCAGTGAGTGGGCAGCAGGCCTGGAGAATAGGGTGATGTGGGGATGGCGAGAGCAGAAGCAGACCCCACGGAGCCCCGTGGAAAATGGCCTGTCTTCACGGAGGATGGAGTCACTTGTGAGTAAAGCAGGAATCGAGGGATCAGATTTGCATTTGAGAAGCTGAAGCTGGCAGTAGGAAGCAGCTAGAAATGGACCTGGGGTTTGGGAGAAAGGTGTCACCACCGGAAGGAGGAGACAGGTGGTCTTGGAGGCCCCCGCAGGACCTGAGATTTCCCAGGGATAGCCCCGAGGAAGAGGAGCGTGGGGGGTGTGGGGGTGGGGGGGTGCCCTCCCACTTCTAGAGGTTGCAGAGGAAAGGATGAAGCCTGGTACTTCTGTACCTGTCTCTTGCGAAAAGCGTTCAGACAGATTCCTTCATTTTCCAGCACAAAGGGCACGTTCCACCGAGCATTTGCTGTCTGGCCTTGCTCTCCTGGCACCTGCAGGAGCCACGCTGTCGTCATAGCCTTGCTTTCTCGGACTTTCCTGCTTGTGCTTCTCTCTCCCGGATAGCTGCTGTCAGTGGCGTCCAGCATCCTGTCCTTTCCTCACAGAGAAAGTCTTCAGGGTCTCAGAGGCCTCTTAGACAAGTCCCTTCACATGTGCCACTTGAGCTGTCGCGTTCCCTGGCAGGGGGCGCCAGCAGCGGAGCAGCCCAGCCCGGCTGTGTTGTCCAGACACCAGGAGCCGGGGCAGGACGCGGGTCAGCGTGCTGAGGACTGGAGGGCTCGAGCTGCGGGACGACTCACGTGGCTTTCCGGGGACATCTGACTGTCTTTGTCAACATTTGTTAGGAAGTTACAGGATTGGCAAACTAGGGGGAAAGACTGAATTTAATTTAAAAAAAATTCCTTGTACAGCACCTCAGACCTTCAGTGCTGCTTATCACTTTCCACCTCCCCGCCGCCTGTGACAACAGGAGTGACGTGACGCTAGCCCCGGCTCCCAGATGGCTGCTTGCAGGAAGGTTTCCATAGCAACCAGAGGCAGGAAAAACCTGACCGTCCAGCTTAGCAGAGTAACATCCGGCTCCTGCGGGGAAGAGGGAGACTCCAGGGCAGGGGTGGGAGAGGTGGCGCCTCCAGTACTTCTCTGCAGTGTTGCGGAGACTCCCAGACACTGGCGTCCTTCGCGGCCGCCAAGCCGGTGTCATTCCTCTGGCGGCTCCTCTCCCAGCAGCCAGAGCTTCTCACACCTAAGTTGGGTTCGGGTTCAGCTCTGCTGAGAACCCCCTGTAATGTCCCAGCTCCCTAAAATAAGATGGAAGGTCCGTGCAGGTGCTGTGCCCCCACCCATGTCACCCCAGTGGCTGCTGCCTCGGCCTCCAGCCACACCCAACTGCTGTCCTGCCTGGGTCCTTCCCCGAGGAGCCACAGGGCTCGGCCCCTCACCTCCTTTCCTTGGTTCCAGTGTCTTCTCCTCACAGAGCTTTTCTGACAGCGTGGTCCACACAGCCCTTCTCAGGTTGCCGCTGCCTTCCCCTGCAGCTTTGGCTGCACCATGGGGGGGGGGAGGGGGGGAGACACCCTGCCCTGTGATCCTCCACGGGCCACCCCTGCTGTGCTCGTCTCCTGGTGCAGAGTGGGGGGAGGCAAGGTCAGAAGGGGGAGCTGCCTCTTGGAATAGTCTCCTGCCCCTCAGCCTGCACCCCGGGTGCGGCTCCTTTCTCCACGACAGGCACCCCCTCCCTTCGCCCTGCCTGTGCCCTGCCGGAAGAAACAAGCCACTCTCTCGTGGGGCTGTGGGCCTGGAGTCTCCCTCATGCTCACACTCGGACCGGTGTGGCGGGCCCTGTGTCGCTGTCGCGCATGTGGGTGGCACCAGGTGAGCATCAGCAGCCGCTGCGGCTCCCAGCCTCAGTGTGGAGGCCCAGGCACGACGGGCCGTTCTGGAAGTTACCGGGACTGCCGCCGATGGCCCGTCTGTCTGCCCGCGCGGCTGCTGTGCTGGCGCGTGTGCCCAGGACCGCGCTCGCCTTCTCCTTTCGTCCTCCCAAGCCCCGCGGACCTCGGGGCTGCGAATCTGCTTCATGGGCGAGGAAAGTGAGATTATTCACATTTTCAGGGACAGGCTTTTAGGGAAAGGAGGAAGAAAAAAGATGGACCTGCATAGTCACAGGCGGCAGGAGCTGCTGAGGAAAGTGCGATTTAAAGTGACGTGGGCTTGCCCAAGGTCAGAACAAGGGGTCCAACCAGCAGAGCTGGGGTTCGGGCCCAGGCTGTCTGAGGGGAGGCTGTGCCCCCACGTGCTCTGAAGCAGCCTCTCAGGGCCGGCCCCATGCAGTGTGCCCCCGAGTGGGCAGCAGGCCGGCGCCGTTACATCATCCTGCCAGGTGGACTGCAGGGTGGTGGGGTGTTTTACGAGCGCGTGATTTTTCAAATCTATTTAGAAAACCACATGTTGGGGGCACCCAGGCCTCCGGGGGGCCTGGCAAGCCTCCAGGCTCTGGTGAGTGTTTGAGCCTCCTCTGGCGTCGCCCAAGGGTCTTGCCTCTTCTGTGGCCGCCGCTCGTCCTCTTGCAGCTGTCGTGCATCTGGGTGACGCCGCCCTCATAGCCCTGGCCTCCAGGCGCAGGTGTGCACACTTGCACGCACGCACCTGCTCCAGGTGTCCGCCATCAGGCTCAGCGCCCCGCGCCCACGCCCCAGCGCCTCCTGCACCGCCGCCTCCAGGCCGCAGGTGATGGCCGCAGAGGCTGATGGCGCAGAAGGCCTGATGAGCTCGCTCACCCCACACTCAGCCGTCTCTTCCAGGCTGTTTCTCACGTGTGAGGAATCACCTTCATGTGTCATGAGAATTGAATAAAGTGATTTTTTAAACTTCTTACCTAAAATTGCTCCGCCCAGCACGACATTCCCATTCAAACCGCGCGTTGCGCCGAGGCGGGCGTCCCCGTGCTGCCTCCACGCGGGCCGCAGGTTCTGCCGCCTGGCTCTCGGCGGGCTCATCTGCAAGCAGGCGCGGGGGCGCAGCTGTGGGCATCCAGCCCGACTCGGACCAGGAGGAGAGGGGTGAGCTGCCTTAGGAGCGACAAGGAGACGCATTTGCCTTTTGCAAATGGGTCTTTAAAGAAAACGGATTTTTTCACACGCCCGCACCAAGGTCTGGATCTAAATAATTGCTCAGAACTGTGGCTTAAGGAAACCTGGTCACAGAGGTTGTGGTCATGACCGGTTTGGGTTTCTTTTTTTTTTTTTTTTTTTTTTTAAAGATTTATTTATTTAAATATACAAGCACTGGGTACGGTGAGAAGCGCTGGAGGGTGAGAGGATTCACCAGAGCCAGAGCGGGGAGCAGAGCAGGCAGAGGGACCGAAGGACACTGCTGAGGGGAGCAGCGGGCGGCAGGAGAGGTCTGCGCGCCATGTGGGACCCTCGCTGGGGATCGAACTGGCGCTGCAGAGGCTGCGGGCAGCTTCGCAGCCCAGCGCTCAACCGCTGCGCCACCGGGGAGGCCCTCTTCTTCTTTTTTTTTCTTTTCTTTCTTAAGAAACATTTGCCTGAGCATAGGGGCGTGGGGAAGTCAGCCTGTGATTCCATCCGTCCTTAAAATACGGGAGCCGAGGCCCCGCAGCTCGCAGAGCTCTTGGGAACTGGTGCTTCTCAGCTTCTTCGAGCTGCGTCCTCTAGGGCGCAATGCGGAGCGCAGCGCAGCGGCGCTCTTTCAGGCGTGGCGGCCAGCGCGCAGAGGTGTGTGGGAAGGACCCCCAAGAAAGGGGCCCGTAGGGTGATGTGCCCTCTGCTGTCTGACCAGGGCGGATGTTTCTGGACCCCATGAGGCCTGAGCGCCTCCCCGTGGGAAGACACTAGCCTGGGAAGACGCCGGAGCCTCTCCTGTCCACCATGTCAGGTAGGCGTGGGCCCTGAGGGGCTGGCTTGCTCTTTGTGCACAACCCAAGACCCTCCAGGTGAGAGGCAGGAACGCGGACATGAGTAACGTCCTTCCCTGCCCCTCACCTGCTTGCCCGAATCTGTGTCCTCTTCCCGCTTCCCTCACGCAGCGCCTCGCTGCTCCGCGGCGAAGAGACAAAGTTTGGTTGTGTGGTGTCCTTGCTCCCTCCTCCCCGCCCGTCTCAATTTGGATGGTCCAGTGCCTCTCGGTGGGGAGAGGACTTGGGGGGTACCCCAGCCTGAGTTCCCCCCACCCTGAAGGCTCTGCATTTTCTTCATCTCCTGTTGATTTTAGGAAGCCACATCCCTCCTGCTAGCGGCCCCTTCTCAGCCCTGACTCCGAGCATGTGGCCCCAAGAGCTCCTGGCCAAGTGCGCGCAGGTAGGGCACTAGCAGCAGCGGCAGCTCTGGGCCCAGCTTGTGGCCCTGAAGGGGACCCACTCAGGTTACCCGGGACCGAGTCTTCCACCACATGCTGACACCATCAGGGAGGCGTCCGGCAGTCGGCTGGGGAAGGCACTGTGCTCGGGGTTACGGGGATGCAGGGTTGCCTAAAACCTGGTTTTGCCTTCATCGTATTCTCTTTGGCCTCCGAGAAGAGGAACTGCTTGGGGAATCTAGAGAAGGTAGAGGATGGCCTCAGCAGGCTTTAGGGAAGGGTGGCCTTTGTGAGCCTTGAGGGCTGGGTGGATTTCCGCAGGCGGCAGTGTGGGTGGGGTCACCTGGCCCCCGTGGGCCCAGACCCTGACTCCCTCCCTAACCCTGGTTCTAGAGGGAAGAGTCAGCGGAGCGACCAGAGTTCTGCTACGATGAGTTCGGTTTCCGTGTGGACCAGGAAGGTGAGAGCTGGGCGTCGCCACGCTGCGTCCTCGGGGAGGCCCCCGCTCAGGCCTGGGCTCCGGAGTTCTGGCTCCGCATGGAGGACGGAGCCGCGTCTGCAGCATGAAGACGAGGCCCCAGACTCGCAGCCTCCAAAGAGGTCGGAAGGCAAAGCAGACTTAGCGTAAAAGAACTTTAATAGGATTAGTGTGCGCGGGAGGAGAATAGTTTCCCCACAGAACAGGCCAAATTACCCACCCCGTGGGGTGAGTGCCCAGCCAAACAGGGCTGGCCCAAGCAGGGCACAGAGGCCCCAATACTCGCCACAAGGCTAAGGCACCTTTTGGCGGGAACCATAGGAGCAAAATCAAAGTGCAAATCAAGGTCATAGGGTAACTGCCGCCATCGTCGCCTCCCCACTGTCTCTCCTCCGAGTCTCTGGTGCCAGGCCAAAGCCGAGAAGCAGGCACGTCCTTCCTCTCAGTTCTCCCGAGTTAAGTGGGCGGGAAGATGGCACCTCCCCCTTCCTGGAGCTGCCCGTGACATGGCAAAGGGTGCTGCTGTCACTATAGACGTAAGACCCCTGGGCTCTTTAGATTTTTTTTAAAGGTTATTTATGCATACAAGATCTAGGTACAGGCCGGAGGTGTGGGGGGCGAGAGGAGTCACCAGAGACTGAGTGGGGAGCAGAGCAGGCAGGCTGACGAAACACTGCTCAGGGGAGCAGCGGGGAGACAGGAGAGGTCTGCGGTGCCGTGAGGGTAGCTCCCTGGCTGGGGATGGAACTCGTGCTGCAGTGGCTGTGGACGGCTTCATAGGTTGAGTCTTACTCCCTTGCGCCAGCAGGGAGGCCCCGGGCTTTTTAACTTTTATTAATCTTCATATGATAATAAAGGCAAGACTGTCCCTGTCGAGAAGTTGAAGAGCCCACCATCCTGCAGTTGAGATGAGCTATTCTTCAGGGTGTTTCTCTGGAAGTGCTTTTCATAGTGAAGGTCTCGCAGCTGCATGTTTATTACTCTGTGCTGCTCTCGCCTCGCCTTATACCCTGAGATTTGTCTGTCACTTGAGGCCTCTTTAAAGGTGTGGTTTCCAGTGCCACATAACCTCGCACCGTCAGGGATCTGTGCCGTGGCTTTATCCTCGCCACCACTGTTCTGGGATTGGGCCTCTAGGCCGTTCCTCCTGTTTCTCGTAAACACACTTCGGGGCTCCCAAATGGGCTGTTGAGAAAGTGACCCAGAAAGCCTGTCACCCGGACAGACTGACGGCTCAGCAAGCGAGGCATCTTCCGGCTCTCCTGTTTCCGAGCCGGGCCCAAGGGTGCCATGCTTTCCAGTTGACAGGCAGGTAGCGGAAGCTCAGCTGGGCCTGAGGAAAGAGGGAGCGTGTCGGTGCAGTGGCGCGCTCCCTGTCTTGGTGGGACGACATTTGACATTTGTTACTTGAATCCTAAGTGAGACTTAAGATGTGTGTGTTTCACTCGGCCAACGATGAACTGAAGCTGTGGAGGCTGGAGGCGTGGCTTCAGTGGGGGTCGGGTGGGGTCTGGGGCGCAGCCCGCCTTGTCCTCGGTCACCAGGCATTGCGGGGGGCTGGCTGTGGCAGTGAGCAGATCCGTCATGCCGGAGGCAGAAGGGGGCAGCGGACTGGACCTGAGGTGGTGAGGGAGGGCTTTGGGGGGAATGTCTGGACAGATTTGTGCCGAAGCGAGCCAGTAGGTGTTAGTGCAAAGGCCCTGGGGCGGGGGTTGGGAGGGACTCGCTGCAGGGGAGGGGGTACCAGGAAAGCGGTGGAGAGGGTGGGAGCTGGGCGGAGGCTCTGCTGCTGGGGAGGTGGCGGCACTGCGGGGCTCTGGCGCAGGACTGACTGGTGTCCCAAGAGGCACGTGGCTACCCGGTGGAGACGGGCCGGGCCGGTGGAGGGCGGTTGCGGGACGCGGAGGAGCGGGCTCGGACTAGGTCAATGGCGGAGTCTGCTCGTGCTCAGAAGGGATCTGCGTGGGGTCTGAGTGGAGGAGGGGCCGAGGGTGGTGTCCAGGCACTGGGCTGAGCATCTGAGGGTGGAGGCGCGTGGAGGCGCGTTTGTGGGTCTGGGAGAGGCTGCGGCAGAGCAGGCGAAGAGCTGGGGTGTCCGTGGCCGAGTCTGGGCCCTAGACCCACAGACCAGGCCCGCGCTTCGGAGGCCACTTCGGTGGTACGGAGTCACCTCCCTCCCTGTCTTCCCACGCACGCCCCACAGATGGTGTTGCAGACCCCAGTTCCAGCAGGCTGCTGGGGGTGTCTCTGGTGGAGGACCCCCCGCAGAGGCTGCGGTGGCAGGCCCACCTGGAGTTCACCCACAACCACGACGTGGGGGACCTCACCTGGGACAAGATCGCCGTCTCCCTGCCCCGCTCGGAGAAGCTCCGCTCCCTGGTGCTGGCCGGCATCCCGCACAGCATGAGGCCACAGGTGAGGTGGGGGGGCCTGCGGGGGCTTCCGGGGCCCACCGGAGCCTGAGCCTTGTCCTCTGCCCCCCCAGCTATGGATGCGACTCTCAGGCGCCCTGCAGAAGAAGAGGAGCTCCGAGCTGTCGTACCGGGAGGCGGTGAAGAACAGCTCTGACGACGAGACCGTCGCTGCCAAACAGGTGCGTCTCAGATCCAGGGCCTGCAGGGGCGCAGCCGCCTTGGTGAGGGGGACCTGGGAAACCCTCCTGTCATTCTGACGCCCCGGGACCTGGGGTCTGTGTGCGCTCCCCGAGGGAATCTGGTGGAGCCAGTCCCAGTGGCCGTGACCCTGAGGGAGGAGTGTCCGCTCCCTGTGGGGAGGGTGCTTGGGCCCGCTGCCCGCAGCTGCACCTCACGGCTCCTGCTGGGTGAGGGCTGTCACAGATCGAGAAGGACCTGCTCCGCACCATGCCCAGCAATGCCTGCTTTGCCAGCGTGGGCAGCATCGGCGTCCCGCGCCTGCGCAGGGTCCTCCGCGCGCTGGCCTGGCTCTACCCGGAGATCGGCTACTGCCAGGGCACCGGCATGGTGAGCGCAGCCCGGGCGGGGAGGGGGAAACCGAGTCTCTGGGCCCCCAGTGTCAGCTGATGTTACCATCCAGCGCGCTGGTACAGAAGGGCGCGTGGCCCGGGAGGCGACCATCCCTGGGGTGCTGCTGACCCCCAGGGATACTGGGGTTACGGGGCCCTGTCCCCACCCCCGCCAGGTGGCCGCCTGCCTGCTGCTCTTCCTGGAGGAGGAGGACGCCTTCTGGATGATGTGCGCCATCGTCGAGGACCTGCTCCCCGCCTCCTACTTCAGCACCACCCTGCTGGGCGTCCAGACGGACCAGCGAGTCCTGCGCCACCTCATCGTCCAGTACCTGCCTCGCCTGGACAAGCTGCTCCAGGAGCATGACATTGGTGAGGGCTGCCCCCGCTTCCTCCGCCTGGGGAAGCTCTGTGATGGTGTCACAGCACCCGAGTCTCTCTGGTCATGCGCGCTCTCCCCGCGGAGCAGGCTCGGCCTCTGGTGGCTTTGGGGGGCGGTGCACGCCCCATCGCCTCCCGGGTCTCACGCGCCCCGGCTGGCCGTGTCCGCAGAGCTGTCCTTGATCACGCTGCACTGGTTCCTCACGGCCTTCGCCAGCGTCGTGCACGTCAGGCTGCTGCTGCGCCTCTGGGACCTGTTCTTCTACGAGGGCTCCCGGGTGCTGTTCCAGACCACGCTGGGCATGCTCCGCCTCAAGGTGCTCCCCCGCCCCGCCCCAAGGGAGGCGTCTCCCAGGCAGGCCCTGATGCCTTCCCCACCTGGTTCAGGAGGAGGAGCTGATCCAGTCGGAGAACTCGGCCTCCATCTTCAACACGCTGTCAGACATCCCGTCTCAGATCCAGGACGCCGAGCAGCTGCTGGGGGAGGCCATGCGGCTGGCCGGCTCCCTCACCGACGTCGCCGTGGAGACTCAGCGCCGCAAGCACCTGGCCTACCTCATGGCGGACCAGGGCCAGCTCCTGGGGACGAGCGCCACCACCACCCTCTCTCAGGTGGGCCCCGCCTCGCCCACCGCCTGAGGATGCCCAGGCGCCCTCCCCTGCTCTACTGCGCCTCCCTGTGGGCACCCCACGTCCCCCCTTGGCCTTGCCTGGCAGGGGTGTACTGTCCAGCTCTGACCTCAGAAGCCGCCACCCAGGGGCTCTGTGCTGAGGTTGGTCCCGGGCCGCACTGACCCGCGCCCCCCGCAGGTTGTCCGCCGCCGGACCCAGCGGAGGAAATCCGGCATCACCTCCCTGCTCTTCGGTGAGAACTGCTGTGGGGGCCAGGCAGGGCGTCTGTCCCCACGGCCTGGGGCTGGGAAGGGGCAGGGCTGGCTCTTGGCGGCCTCACTCTCCCGGCTCGCAGGTGAGGACGACCTGGAGGCGCTCAAGGCCAAGAACATCAAGCAGACGGAGCTGGTGGCCGACCTCCGCGAAGCCATCCTGCGAGTGGCGCGCCATTTCCAGTGCACCGACCCCAAAAACTGTAGTGTGGTGAGTCCCAGGCCGTGCGTGGCACTCAACTGAGGGGCTCCCCTCGCCAGCCCACGTGCCAGGGAGCGAGGCGCAGGCAAGGCGGGGGGTCTGGGCTGAGGCTGCTGCTCGGTGCTGGCAGGAACTGACCCCGGACTACAGCATGGAGAGCCACCAGCGGGACCACGAGAACTACGTGGCCTGCTCGCGCAGCCACCGGCGCCGGGCCAAGGCCCTGCTGGACTTCGAGCGCCACGACGACGACGAGCTGGGCTTCCGCAAGAACGACATCATCACGGTGCGTGGCTGCCCCTCCCTGGCGGGGCTCCAGCCCCGGCCCTCGGCCACGAGCGTGGGGCCAGCCGAGCGCTCGTCCTGCCCTTTCTCCCGCGCAGATCATCTCCCAGAAGGACGAGCACTGCTGGGTCGGGGAGCTGAACGGCCTTCGAGGTGAGGCGGCGGCCGTCTGCGGCCGTGTGGAGGGGGCCGTGGGCACAGGTGGCCTTCGCTGGGTCCCGCTCGCCCCAGGCTCTCCCAGCGCCTGCCCTGGGGGGGGGTCGCTGGGGACGCGCGGTCTGCTCCTCAGGGGGCCCTGCTCCTCCCGCAGGCTGGTTTCCAGCCAAGTTCGTGGAAGTCCTGGATGAGCGGAGCAAGGAGGTAAAGGGAGCCGGGGCGGGCTGGCCGGGGCGGCGGGCGCCTGCAGGCCCGCGCGGGTTTTGGGGGCTGCCGCTCAGGCCCCTGCCCCCCATCAGTACTCCATTGCGGGGGACGACGCGGTCACCGAGGGTGTCACGGACCTTGTGCGAGGGACGCTCTGCCCGGCCCTCAAGGCCCTGTTTGAACACGGACTGAAGAAGCCGTCTCTGCTTGGGGGCGCCTGCCACCCCTGGCTGTTCATTGAGGAGGTGAGTCGGCGGCGGGACCCCCACCCCCCTCGCTGCGCTCTGCCCCCAGCCCCGGGACCCCGCGGAGCCGGCGGTGGGAGCTCCCCGGGCGGAGATGTGCGCCCGGCCGGGCCTGGGGCTTTGACCCGGTACCTGCTCTGCTGTCCAGGCAGCCGGCCGGGAGGTCGAGAGAGACTTCGACTCGGTGTACTCGCGCCTGGTGCTGTGCAAGACCTACAGGTGCCCCGGGGCCTCCCGGCAGCCCGCGGGGGCGGGACGGCGGCCCGGCACACTGGGTGGCGCTGACGTCTCTGTCCCCTCAGGCTGGATGAAGACGGCAAAGTGCTGACCCCGGAGGAGCTGCTGTACCGGGTCAGCGGGGCCGGGGGGTGAGCAGGCGCCAGGGTCGGCAGCAGGGGCACTTCAGTGACGGCGGTGCCCTCCCTCCCAGGCGGTGCAGTCCGTGAACGTGAGCCACGACGCGGCGCACGCACAGATGGATGTCAAGCTCCGCTCGCTCATCTGCGTGGGGCTCAAGTGAGTGGCTGCGCCCTTGGGGGTGGGCGCTGGGCGGGGCGGAGAGGGCTCCCCGGGAAGCGGCCGGCCCACCCCGCCTGTCCCCAGTGAGCAGGTCCTGCACCTGTGGCTGGAGGTGCTGTGCTCCAGCCTGCCCACCGTGGAGAAGTGGTACCAGCCCTGGTCCTTCCTGCGCAGCCCCGGCTGGGTCCAGATCAAGTGCGAGCTCCGGTGAGAAGCTGGGGGCTGCTGGGGGGCGCGGCGGGCAGTAGCGCGCCCGAGGGTCCCTGACCGCATCCCCTGCCTCGCCTCCAGCGTCCTCTGCTGCTTCGCCTTCAGCCTCTCCCAGGACTGGGAACTCCCTGCGAAGAGAGAGGTGGGTTGTTGGGGCTGGGCCTCGCCTCCCAGCGCTCGCCCGGTGGCTGAGGCCGGGCCCCTGGGCCCCGGGGCCGGCATCTCCTGTAAGAAGCTGGCCCGGCCCCGTGACCGCGAGGCACTGTCCCTGCGCAGGAGGAGAAGAAGCCCCTGAAGGAGGGCGTGCAGGACATGCTGGTGAAGCACCACCTCTTCAGCTGGGACATAGACGGGTGACCCGCGCCGGCGCGCCACACGCAGCCCGGCCTCCCCCACGGCGCCGGTGACCAGAGCAGCCCTGCCCGCCCGCGCACGGCCCGGCCCGGCCAGGCTCGCTTTGGGATGGGGTCTGAGGGGACCCAGGCCCACCCCAAGCTGTGGGGTGAAGGCAAGACGCCTTGGAGCTGAGGCCGGGCACCCAGGTAGGGCGCTCGGGGCCACCACCGGTGGCAGCAGAAGGCAGGGGCCCGGCTCAGCCTGTCGTGCCTGTGGGGGCCCCGCCCCAGCTCCACTGCTGGTGCCAACCAAAAACCTCGTAGGCGCGCCCGTCAGGTTCTTCTCAGGAAGGGGGGGGGGGTTCGGGGCGCCTTGACCTCTCTGTAAATAAACCGTCTTGGAGAAAGTGCCGCCCGCCTCTGTCCCGCAGGACCGCGCGGCCTTCCGTCCGAGGCGCTGCCCCTCCTGGAACCGTCTCGAACACACACGGCCAGGCCATGCCACCCGCCCCCTCGGGGGATTGAACAAGACGGACCAACAAACGGTGTTTGTGATTTTATTTTAAAAAATTCACACGGCCCCTCCCCTTCCCAGCGCCCTCTGCGTGACAGCGACGGGCCGGGAGGCAGGAGAGACCCCAGGCGGGTGGCGGCCACCTCTGCCCCTCCTGTCAGGGCCGTGGCGGCGGCAGTGAGGCAGTGGGATGGAATGTGGGCGGGTGGCACCCCTGCCCTCGTGGCACTGATAAGGAGCAGGAAGGGGGGGGGGCACTGCTGGAGTCGTGCGACGGCAACACGTGCTGGGCGGGGCTGGAGGACGGGGCAGCCCCACACCCTCCTGGTTGGGATGTGGAGGGAGCCGCATCCCCCTCGCGCTCCCCCAAAATCTATGTACTCGTAGGCGCTACAGAGGGCGTATGTACACTGTACAGAGCGCGGCCGGGGCGCCCCCTCCTGGGACTTGGGGGGGGGGGTAGCATCTCGGGGAGGTAAAGGCCCAGATTCTTCACTTGCAGGAAAGCGGGGGAGGGAGGAGATTCGCCCCTGACCGCTCCTGCCTGAGCCACACTGCGGTCAGACAGGGCCCCTCCCACCTCCCAGAAGGAGGCCGCGTAGAATCGCCCCCCACGGGCCTGTCCAGGCCCCCACAGCCCCAGGACGGGGCCCAGAGCTACCCAGGGCAGCCTATCCCCCTCCATGGAGGCCCGGCCCAGCGCCCACAGAGGGAGCAGCGGGGGCTGTAGATTGTCAGGACTCACGACCACGCGGCGAGGCTGGGACAGTCACGCTCCCTCAGGTTCCCGAGGCCCGCGCCTCAGCGCTCCTGCCCGGCCCTGTAGGCCGAGAGCTACAAGCAGGAATCCCAGTGTAGCTGCAAGTCGTGGCCGTCCAGGAAGTCTGTGGAGAAGAGGCTCGGGGCGGCGGTGCTGAGCGGAGCCAGGCTCAGCACGGGGCCGCCCGACGACAGCTCCAGCCAGTCCATGCTGTCCAGGTGGCCGTCGCTCAGGTCCAGGCCCAGGCTGCCGGGCTCAGGGGCAAAGTGCAGTTCCGAGGTGTCCATGGGCGAGGGGGGGTGGTCCAGGATGGCCGAGCTGCTCAGCATCTGGCTGTGGAGATCGTCGATGAGCGAGAGGGACTCGGGCCCCTCGTGCCCGGCGGTCAGCAGGGGCAGCCCGGTGCTGCTCTCCAGGAAGTCCTCCAGGCGGCCGGGGAGCGCAGGGGAGCCCGCCGGGACGGCCTGGGGCTGCTCGGGGGCGGGTGGGGACGGCGCAGCCAACGGGGCCCCGCAGGCAGCTGTCGCGGGGCGCTTCTCTGTCTCTGGCTCCTTGAAATCCGCTGAAATCTCTGGTAAGAAAGTGAACGGGCGTCAGGACCGGACCCGAGACGGGGCCCTCGGCTTACGCCAGGGAAAGGGAGCTCGAGAAGGACCGAAGAGTTAAGTTTAGGAGCTAAAACCACAACTCTCGAGGCGGGGAAAGACTGTGGGCGCCCACGTGCGAAAGCTGGGGTGCAGGCCAGGGCAGGGGGTGGGGTCAGAGCGGGGAGCAGACCAGGCAGAAGGACTGACACACGCGGAGGGGCGCAGCGGGGGCAGGAGAGGGCGGCTGCCCTGGCCACAGGGTGCTCGTGCGGAGGCTCCACGCCCCAGGCCATCAGGGAGACCCAAAGGGGAAAATCTTAAAGGTTCAGGAGTTGAGGTGGGTTTCGCGGGCGTGACTCTGGACTCTGAAGTCAGCATCCACTGAGGCTGCACAGGAGATGCGGTGAGGGGAGGAAACGTTTCGGGGCGCGCGCAAGGGACTAACGTCCGGCTCCAGAGTCCCTGCTCGGCGCCCGCCTGGAAGGGCCAGGGACGGGCCCAGACGTTCCTCCCGCAGAGGGGCTGTGGGCGCCGCCGCGAGGACTCCGCGCCAGGAGGGCCGCGGCACTGGGGGCGGGTGGAAGGGCAGAGGCGGGACGAGCTTGGCGGGGTCTCGGGAGGTCACGGGCAGGGTCGCCAGGGGCCCCGGCTGGTCCACACCCGTGAGCGCGGGCGCGGGCCTCGCTGCTCGTGCCCGGTGCTCCGGCCGGCATCGCTCGCAACCGCCCAAGCCGGCGAGCCCCGACTGCGGCGGGCGGGCGGGCGAGCGGGTGAGCGCGAAGGGGCCAGTCGCAAGGACGGACGCCTGCCTGCCTCGCGCCACAGCACAGATGAAGCTGGGGGGCACCCAGGGGAACCCCAAAGCCGTGACTCACTACGCGAGGGGTCTGGCGCCGAGCGGGGCTGGCGGGCACGGGGTGACGAGCAAGCCCCCCGGGGACACGACAGGCAGCGCCGCCGCCTGTGTCCGCAGCGCCCCTTCCCCCATCAACCCGCCCGCGCTGCCCGAAAATCCACTGACGAGACCAGGCCGGCTCCCCGCCCTCTGGGTGCGGCCCACCCGCGGGGCCGCCCCCCCCCCCCCCCCCCCGCGGGGCTCTCCACGGCGGCGCCGCCCCGCAGCGCTCCCTGCGCTTCTCAGCCTGCCGCGGCTCGCCCGGCGAGTTCCCGCTGGACACCGGGAAGCCCCGGCCCTGCGTGCCCCGTCCTCGTCCTCGGGCCTCTGCCACGAGCGCGCTGCAGCCACCACCCAGCCCGCGACGCCCCGCCCCGGCAGGCCTTGCCCGGGCCCCGCGGCAGCGCCCAGCTGAGGTCGCCAGCGCCCCCACAACTCGCACCCAGGACCGGGGCCTCGTCCGCCGGCCTCCCCTCAGCAGCCCGGGCCCCCGGGACGCCACCCTCCCGAGAGCCCCGCTCGCGGCCCACTGCTCAGCCGGCATCCCGGCCCTGGATGCCCATCTGAGGCCGCGCCCGGCCTGTCTCGGGCCCACCAGGCGGTCGGAGCGCCGGCCCGGGCAGTGGAGCCAGCGCGGCTCCAGGGCGCCCCCGCGTGGCCCGGCTGCCTGGGAATGGGGACAGTCCTCGGCTTCCCCAGCTCCTGCACTCGCTGCTCCCCCTCCGCGCCCCAGCTCCACCCGCGCTCCTCAGGGGCGCCCGCAGCCCAAGCTGCACCTGCTGGAGGAGCTGGACCCTGACCAGCCCCAGTATTCCCCGCCCCCACCCCCCAACGTGCCCCCCGAACCCAGGATGACGCGACCGCGCACCGCAGTGGCCCGGGCTGCAGGGCTGGCACCCGCAAACCCAACATCGCCGCTGCACCCTCATGGAGCTGCCCTCGTGGCGCCTCGGAGGCGCCGCGTCGCCGCTGCTGCCGCTCGCAGGCACGAGCCCGCCGGCACGAGCGCGCGGGGACTAGAGACGGCGCGGCAGGCGGACCCCCGGGACCGCAGACGGCCTGGGCCGGGAGGCCGGGATTTACCTCCGCTCTGAATGAGGATGTCGAACAGGTCGTCCATCTGCTGGATGGAGGAGCCGTTTTCCTGCCGACAGAAAACAAACCCCTGAACAGCCGGACGGGGGCCGCCCCGGCTCGGGCACAGGCTCCTCCTGTCCCTGCACTGGCGGCGCTGCCACTGCACCCCAAGGCCTCCCTGACCCCACGAGGCCTGGCTCCCGCGTCCCCGCCCCGAAGGCCCATCCGGACCCCCGTCCTCCGGCTGGGTTCGGGGCCGCGGGCCGCCAGCCACCGAGGTGCCACCGCCCGACCAGGCCCCAGTCTACCTTCTTCACCTGCGGCCGCGGCTGCTGGCTCACGGCCTCCTCGTAGCCCGGCGGCTCCTTCTTCAGCAGAGACGTGGGGCTCCCAAAGAGCGGCTGCGGCGGGGGCTCCAGGTCCCTCTGGGCCGGCGGTCCAGGGGCTGGAGACCCCGGCGGGGACCCAGGCTGGAAGGAGAGAAGCGGGATGAGGGGCAGGCCGGGGCCGCACACCCCGGAGGGCAAGGCAGGAGGCGCCGCCCTCCACCCCGGGCCAGCTTGCCCAGCCCCCCGGGCAGGCATGGAGGACACTGGAGGAGCTGAGATGCGGGGGGTGTCTGACCCTGCAGCGGGCAGGGAGACACAGGGTGACCACGGGGGGGGGGGTAGGCAGGAGCCACAGAGACGACGAGGGGCTGCGGGGTGCCTCCTCCCCCTCCCCGGCTCCTGTCACCGCCCCCTCTGCCCTCCTGAGCCCGAAGCCGTCTCACCTCCTGGCCGGGCTGCGTGGCGAGGCGGGGCTGGGAGGGTGGCAGCACCAGGGAGCTGGCCGCCGATGACCCGTTGGTGGGGGACAGCTGGCCTCTCTGGGGGGAGAAAGGAGAGGAGCTGGCACCAGGCTCGGCACAGCCACCCCGCCCCAGGGCGGGCAGCCCCCACCTCGCCAGGGGCCAGCCCCCAGGGAGCAGATGTGGGCGCGCCCAAGTGGACGATGCTCAGGAGCCCCCTGCCAGGTGCTGAAACTTTCTGACGTGATGCCAGAGAGGTGGACAGTCCCGATGCCCGCCCCCGCCCGGCCAAGGCTGGGGGTTCACGGGTGGGTCCCTCAGCCTCCCCATGTCTTAGCACCCCCCTTGGTGAAAGGGGAGTAAGAGCCTTCATTTTTGCGGCTTGGTGGGAAGACTGGAGGCAAATACAACCTGCTCAGGGGGTGCTGGGCAAGTGGGGCTGCCCTTACGTATCTTCACCCTCCCCTGCCGCCCCCGCCCCTCCCACACCCAGACACCTGCTGGGGGCTCCCGCCGGGCAGGCCAGAGCTGTCTGCATTCTTATTGGTCACGGTGAGGACAAGGTGGGTCCCTGTGGAGTCGGTGATGAGGGTGGGAGGTGTGACCCCCTTGATGCGGCCGGGGCCGGGCGGGCCCAGAAGCAGCTGGGGGGTGGAGGCCAGCTCGGGCTCAGGCAGCCCGGCTTCTTGCTTCACCACCACAGGCGAGGGCACCAGGGCACAGGCGTCTACGTGGTGGTGGGCGGCCAGGCTGGGGCTGAAGGGCTGAGCGGGGCCCGGGGGCTGCTGGCTCAGTGGACAGCTGGGGAAGCTGTTCTCCTGCTTCACCGGGGCGCCCAGAGCGGCCGGGGCGGGCTGCTGGGCCTGCTTCCCCTGCTCCAGCTGCAGCCTGAGCCACTCGACCTGCTGCTGCTTCTGCCGGAGCATGCGGGTCAGCTCCTCGATCTGCTTGTCCTTCTCCTGCAGCATCTGGTCCTTATCGCGCCCCTCCAGCTCTGCCCGCACCCCAGGGCTCAGACAGCAGGACCCCGCCCGGGGGCCCTCCTCCTTCACGAGGATCTGCAGGGGCGAGGTCTGCAGGGTGAGCTGCGTCAGAGGTGATGTCACCATCTCACCAAAGGCGTCCCCGGGAGTGGAGTTCTCATCGCCCGTGCTGAGCAGCGAGCGCTCCGAGGGGGTGGGGGACACGGGGGGCGTGGAGCCCGTGCTGCCGAACTTCACCACTCCGTTGCTGGTCACTGTGGCCACCACCACCTCGGCCGGCGCCAGGCCTGCTGCCACCAGAGCAGGCCCCGTGCTCAGCCTCGCTGCCGGGAAGGCGACCACCACCTCGCCGGCCTTGGGCAGGATGGACGTGGCGGCAGGGGCCTTGGGAGCCCCCAGGGCGGGGCTGACTTGGTCTTGGTAGGCGCGCAGGCGCTCAATCAGCTCTGTCTTGGTGCCCGAGACAGGCAGCGACCGCAGCTTCAGCTCCTGCTTCAGCTCTGCCACCTGCAAGGGGGTGGATGGAGAGTCGGGCAGCAGGGCACACAGCAACCGGGCCCAGGCAAGAGGGCGCGGGGGACACTGGGAGATGAGCCGTCTGTTGGGTAGGCCTGTGTCTCCAAGCCCCACCGGCCACTGCAGATCCATCCCCTGCCCCCAACCACAGGGGAGGGTGAGCCAGGTGCCTGGCCTCGCCACACCAGGGCCTGGCTCAATGCCCCACTCCCCAATCTGGGCATGACGCGCGCTGCCCAGTGGTGCTTATGTGAAGGGACTGGGTTTCCAAAGGTCAACCACACCCCCAGAGCACAGCTAGAGCTCGGAGTCAAGCCCAGGGCTGAGGGACCCACTGCCCCCACGTCCTACCGGGGTCAGGTGGCGACCAGGAGGGCCCCTCTGGGTGAGAGGACGCGCATTCGGGGGGGGGGGGTGGGCACATGCCCCATTTCATCTGACGGGGACAGATGACGGCCAGAGCGGGGCCTGTGACGCGAGTGGGCGCGCTCCTTCCAGCACGGGCCGTGTGATGTGGCTGATTCCTTCTCTGGGGCCAAGCTGACAGGCCGGGGGTGCCGGAGTGGAGACCCCAGAGTTTGATTCATTGCTCTACCGCTGGCCAGACTGTGACCCCAGACAAGCCTCTGGCCCCATCAACCGCTGGATCTTCCCTGCGAGGACGGCCCTGCCCCGAGGCTCCCACTGCACCAGAGACGGAGGTGGACGTGGGCTGAGCCCAGCCCTGGACAGACCCCACGCGTGCGGCTGACAGTCATGACCAGGACGCGACGCAGAGGGGCAGGGCTGGCAGGCTGGCGGCCTCCGGCGGAGATCGCGGTCAGGAGCTCCGCCTGCCTCCCTGGGCCTGGGCCTGGGCCAGCTGTCTTCTCTGCCTGACACCAGGGCCCTGACAGCCACAGGGGAGGCCAGGCTGGCGGTGGGGAGGGGGCGCCGCCTACCTTCATGTCGTCCAGGTTGGCAGGCAGGGTTCCTGGCTTGCCAGCCTGTGAGGAGCTGTTCTGACGCGTCAGCCCACCGGGCCCAGGGGCGCCTGAGCTGCTGCTGCAGGAGGTGGAGACGCTGCGTACTGGGGGCGCCCCACTGCTTCCCAGAGCCTCGCCTGCCGGCCTGAGGAGGTAGAAAGTGCTTTCAGCCGCTGCCCTCCCTCTGCAGGGCAGGGGCAGGACGGGCGGGCAGGAGGGTTACCGCAGGCCCCGCTTGGAGACCATGCTCGCAAGAGTCCAGACCAAAGGACGGCTCCCCCCCAACCCACCAGGCCCAGCCCCCACCTGTCTGGGGCTGCCCACAGTGCACGGGGCCGGGGGCGCTATGGGGGTGCCTACTTTGGGGGGGCAGGCAGGATGGTCTGGTAGTTGTAGTGCTGCTGCTGCTGCTGGTTGAGGATCTGCAGCTGGAGGAAGAGCTGCTGCTGCTGCAGGATCTTGGCATAGGAGGAGTCCATGGGGGGCGCCCCCTTGTCCTGCTTTTGGTCCGGGGGGATGTACTGGTGGTACTTGAGCTTCTTCACCTTTGGCTTCAGCTCCTTGGCTTTCTTGCTGCGCTGCGACTTCTCGCTGGCTGGCTTGGGTTGGCTTTGCTGAGGGCACAGGAGGCAAAGGTGCAGTCAGGGGGCAGCCAGGCTTCCGGGAAGGGGCAGCCTGCTGCTGCCAGCCGAGCAGTGGCTGAGAAGGCGCCCGCCGCCACCTGCCCTCCTCCACTCTCCTCCTCAAAGGCAAAGGCCTCCTCAGGACCCTCAAGCGTGCCCGGGAGGGGGCCGGGGCTGATGGGCTGGGCACCGCCTCTCTTAAGAAAGCTTCTGCTAGTGAAAATCAACCCGTGTGCAGAGGTCACTGTGACCTTGAGCAAAGAGTGAGTTTGCCGTGGAGGTAAAGGCCGGTTTATGGTGCCCGTGCCGTCCACGACCACGTCACGCAGGCCTGGGGGAACCCTGTCAGGCTGGAACAAGCGTGTCTACCTGAAGCTGAGGAACCAGGAAAAGACGCCTTTTCAGAGAAGTCACTCACCCAAGGTCATAAAGTGACCTTGATTGCGGGGGGTGGGGGGGTGGGGGGGGTAGGGGGGAGAGCCAGGGTGCGCGCCCAGGACTCCGATAGCCCCTGTTGGTTCAGTGCGCTCTGCACGCGGGGGGTCTGCCACTGGATTTTACGGTCAACGAGGTCCCAGCAGGCAAAGAAAGGCCAGCAGGTCAAGCCGGGGAGGCCTGGCCTGGGGTCAGGGAACAGTGGCAGTGCACGAGGGCCAGAGCTGGCAGGGGAGTGCAGGGCAGGGCCAAGAGCACCTAGAACAAGGAGCGAGGGGAGACTTGAGGTGGACCTAAGCTGGGGACTCCACCAGGCAGCAGTGGGAAACCAGAGCAGAGATCTGGGGAGAGGGGACCCAATGAAGCAGGTGGCAGGTGAGCAAGTCAAAGGTTTCTGGTTTTGAACTTTGGCAACTGTGGAGACAGTAGCCCCTTCGCGGAACACTCAGGAAGTCAAGCAGAGGGTCTGGCCCTGCTGGTAAGTATGGCAACAGGCGAATGCCCAGAGCTGGCAGATACCCATGTGGATGGAGACGGGGCCTGGGAGCACCCTACCGAAAGGGAGGACGGAGTGGGGGAGAGCTGTGGCAAAGGCAATGGAAAGCAGAAGAGCAGACAGAGGAGTTCACCAAGGGGTCAGAGACAGATGGGGGGCTGGGTTTGACAATGGGAACCCTGAGTAGACATTCTAGTTCCCTGACAGGGCTGGGGAGCCACAGGGGCTCAGGCGTTACTGGGAAAGAGGAAGCACAGACAATACATATATTCTGTCAAAAGTATGCGGTCAAAGGAAGGCACCCCTTGTGTGACGAGAATGGGTCTGAGAGAGGAATTTTGGGGGGAAACCTTGACATCTGTGGTCAGTCAGGAGCAGACCACACAGGCGAGAGTGGTGAGGCTGATGAGGGATCACGGGAACAGCACACGGACCTGGAGGAGCCACTCCTTCCCCTGGGACTGGGGCAGCCAAAGGGACTTCCCGCAAGGGGCGCAGCTGCGTCCAGGCTGTGAGTGGCAGAAGGGGAGAGGCACTAACCGGGGACACGGTGCCCAGGGTCAGTGGGCTAGAGAAGCCACGAGACAAGGGAAGCGAGTGGGGCGGGCGGAAGGGGACCTGCCAGGAGGAGTCGGCGTGCCGCTCTTGGTCTGTGGGGTGACCAGTAGTGACCCCCCCAGAGGTTCTGTGGCTGTCCTGTGGGGCTGACAGGTAATGCTGCCCCTTCGTTATTTCAGATCTTGAGGACAAATGCCCGACACCGCCAGCTCTGTGACGGTGCTGGTCAGCACACTTGAGTGTGTCACTTGTGGAGCAGCAACGTCTGCCCAGCGGCTGCTCCGGACAGTGGACGGAGGGAGGCAGGAGCGAGCAAGTGGAAAGCCCTGTGCAGAGGCGGGCACGCTGCTGGGGGACAGTCAGGAGCCCCAGAGAAAACAGGAAGAATCCCATGTGGCCTCAATGAGCTCTGCTGGTCCAGGGGGAGAGAGTCACCCCTCCCCACCCCCCGCTGGGAGGAGAGGGCAGGGCACAACCATCAGCAAACTGCACCTTAATGAGTGTTGGGGAGGGCCTGGCGGCAGGGACGGTGGTTCCATTGGGGAGGCTGGGAGGCAGGGGAGGCTGCTCTGTCAGGAAAAGCGTTTCTCCAGAATCCGGGCCCACTGGGAGTTGAGAAACAACCTGAAAAAAGAAGAGGGGCATGAGGACGCCCTCCTTTTCTGGGCCTCCAGAGGCACAAGCACACCCTAGCGCTGCCCTGCCTGTCGGAAGCGACGGCAGCCACCTGCTGGACACCACCACCGTGGAGATGAGTGGTGGGCAGAGAGCGGGGGGACCGGGAGGAGGCAGAGGCAGTGAAAGGTCACTGGAGTGCACACGCTTTGGCGAAGCAGGCGCTGGGAATGAAAGGCAGCCCCACCGCAGCCTCCCCCGGGACTACGGCGCTCAGGCTGGCAGAAATGGCCCATGTCACCCTCCCCACCCTGGGACTCACGCAGCCAGTTCCTGGCCTACGGGGGCCATACCCCCTGGCTTTCTGTCCCACCTAGCACAAGCAAGAGACCTCATTGTGGTCATACTGGCAAAGTCTGGGGCCTGGTGGGGCACAGGGAGTGGGTGAGCTCACCTGACTGGGGGATCCAGAGGCGGCACTGGGCAGCGGCTCACTGACCCGGGCTTCCAGCGGCGACGGCACTGAGCCCGGGGACTCATGGCTGGCGGGCTGCTCAGGGGATAAGGCATCGCTGCTGTCCTCATCGAAGGAAGAGCTGTCCGCCACTTTGGGGTAATTCACCTGGCCCACTGAAAGTCAAAGTCAGTGTCGGCCTCTACTCCTACCCCAGCGAGTAAGAAGGGAGGCCACGCTCACCAGCCGAGGCTGTCCCGGCAAAGTGTCTGCCCTTGGGCCCCCCCAAGTCCCAGCAAGGGAGACCAGTAGCCAACCCGCTTCCTGGGCCCAAAGGAAGTCTACGGAAGTTCATGAGCATAACCCAAAGCAAAGGCCAGTCTTGGGAGGCCATCAACATGCTCCCTGGGGAGCGCCTTGGGTGAGAAAAGGACTGATCTTTAACCTCAAGCTTTTAAATCCAGGCTTTGTCCTGTCTTCAAAGTCAAGTTCCGCCCTCCCTGCCTCCAAATGCTGTCTCCCTGCCTCGTCTGTCCGTCCTGTGGCTGCACTGAACTCCTCTGTGGGCCCTGAGAGGGGGGCCTTGAGAGCGCAGACTTCCTGGGCCTGTCAGAACGCCCCACAGGCCAGCAAGCACCTGGGAAAGGGACACCTGCTGGCACAAGTGACAGCACTGCCGGACATCCGGGGACCTCCTGTTAGCAGCCAGTGACTCCAGAGACTCAAGGCCTGGCGGCAGCGGCCACCAACAAACAGCTCCCCTACTGTCACTGGCCACCTGCTGCTCACGGCCGGGGCAGGCTGGGTGCTGGCGCTCCTCTAGCACTGGGGGTAGGGCTGAGGCGAGGCGGGAGGAACGGCGTGGAACTCGTGGAACGTCCCCGCGTGGAACTCCCAGGACCCAGAGGGAAGGGAATAGGACGAGTAGGATATTTCCAAAGACTCCTGTCATAAGCACCCCCTCAGCATGCCAGGGGAGGAGGTTCTGTGCTGGTCTGTCCTCCACACAGAGGAACTGGGGCCGTGGACAGAGGTGAGCAGCCGGCCACGCTCGGGAAACCTGCTGTGGTGGTGACACCACAGAGAAGGAACAGGAACAGGTCAGTAACTCTCCCAGCAGATTCTGTGACCTTCAGCTCTCTCCTCCCTGGGAAGGACACACCTGAGCCTGCTTGTCCGCCGGCCGGAGGTGGTGGTGGAGCAGGCATCCCCATGGCGGCCGCCCCCAGCAGGGCTGCCTCTAGTGCTCCCCTGGCCTGTCCCAGGAAGGCACATGGCGGTCACACACCCAGATTCCTCAACCCCTTCTGCCCAGCCAGGGGACCTGCTGTGGGCCCGGCCCAGGCCCGGACGCAGGACCCAGGATGGAAGGGCTGCAATTCCACCCCTGTCAGCGCAGCCCGAGGAAGCCCCAGGAGCGGTGTGTCTGGAGTGGCCAGACGGGGGCTGGGGACAGCACGCGGAGGCCCTGCCCTCCAGAAGTTTATGGGCGAGTCACCCACCGTGGAGCTCGGTAGCTGTCAGAGACATGGACTCAAAGGGGATGCTGAGGAGAGGCTCAGGGAAGACTTCCTAGAGGGAGGGGTTGACATGAACCTACAGCTCAACCGGGGTGGCATGGAAAAAGGGTGCTGGGGGGGGGGGGTGGCTATGTCGGGGGTGCTGGGGGACACGGCAGGAGAGCACGGCACCTGCAAAGCTCCCATGCGCAGCAGGCCTACGGACAGTCTTGGCTCCCTCTTCCAGTCCACACCAGTTTGGCCGCCACCTCCTGAGACAAGCCTCCACCTCAGCCCTGGTCCCACTGCCGCTACCTCCTCTGGCCCCCCTCACTCCCAAACTCCTTCATCCCAGCTCATGAGCCTGCTCCTCTTCTCCCAGCCTAAAAAACCCTTCCTCAGCCACATCTTTTCTCCCCCACTGACCTTTTGAACAAATGGTTACACTTGCTGCCGCCACTTCCTTACCCGCACATGACCTGGCTTTTGCTGGCAAATACTCCTTTCTCTCAAGTCACCAAACGATGACCTCACTGCCAGGCTGAACTACCTCCCAGGCCTCCGGTTCTCCCACGAGCCAGGCGCTGCCGGCCTCCAGGCCACCCCCACACTGTCCCCTCAGCCTGGAACATCCTTCTGCACTTTCTCCACTTGGCAAACTGAATCAAGCTCCAGGCTGCTCCCAACACACGACACCCTCTGTGGCAGCTGCCCAGCCCCGCCCCAGGCCCTGGGGAGCCTGGAGGGGAACCCAGCACTGTAGCTACCATGGCTGCTGTCAATGCATCTGTAAGGACAGCACTGCCAGACTGGCCAGCAACCCACCCGTGAGTGTCAGGTGCCGAGGACTGTGCTGGACCCTCTATACCCCGAGTGAGCTGGCGAAGAGCCCCGCAAGCGATGTCCCTTCTACTGCACGGCGCCAGCACCTGCCCGGAGCCAGACTGGGAAACCACTTATTTATACGTAGTCTTCTCACAACAGACCGACTTCTTGGAGGGCAGTGCTATATCTTGTTCATCTCCGTAACGTCACCAGGGTCTGGCAGCTGCCAACTCTCAGCCACCATGTCAGTCTTTGGCTGGCCTGAGAACTGACCTCGGCCCAAACACTAGGCTGGAACTAGGAGCTGCTGCAGAATCTGGTGAAGATCTGGGCAGGAGACCATGCAGATGAGGCGGGATGAACACAGGGCAAAGCGATGAAAGAACAGGATTGGGGCGGGGCGGGGTGGGGCGGGGCAGGGGTCTACCAGAGCCCTTGAGAGTGCGGCTGGGGCTGCTCCTGTGTTCCTGACCTGCACCCTGCCTAAAGAGCGAACTCCTCCTACAGTGGGACACTGAGCCTCCCTTCGCTAAAGGTACGGGTGGGGGGACGCCGAATGGCCTTGTCCAGGAGCAGGTCCTGGGCCCACTGAACTGAAGGAGACACGTCTTTACCAATGGTGGTGACAAGGGTCTAAGGGAATCACGTCCTAACCCTGACACATGAGGCCCTGCACTCCTGGCCTGAGGCCCCACCTCAAGTTTTGACCCTGCTTTTCCAAGTCCACCTGCAGCCGGTCCCTCCCAGGGCACACTGGCTCTGCCCGAAGCACACGTTCTTCCCTTGCCGACACTTCAGTTTCCACTCCTCTTGCAGCCTCCATTCTTGGCTGTTGCCCTCTCTGATATGGCACCCACCCCCCATGCCTCTAGTACAGCTCCAGCCTCTGTCCGCCTCTGGCCTACTGACCTGCCTGTATCTGCCCAAGGGGCAAGGCCTGCCTTGTGGGGATGTGGTCCTAGCATCTAGCACACTGCCTGGATCAAAATTTGTTGAGTGAAATATCTGTGGCAAGGGTCAATTCCCAGAAGAGATTCACTAAAAAAAAAACAGTAAGGCACAGATTTCTAATACCTGCCTCTCTGCGTGTTCCTACACACTGATGCCAACACCTGTCTGCCCTCTAAGTGTACTAGTCCCTGGATTTACAGATAAGTCAGAGGCCTGTTAGTTATTTTGACACAACACTGACCCTTAAGGTCACCAGTCCTGTCCCAAGGTAACACAATCTATTTATCAGGCTCTTGAACGCTGCCCCTCGGTTCCCCCAGGCTAAGCAGGGAGTCAAAGAGCAAGACGCCCAGAGCCCCTTGCCTCTGCGGCTAGGCTGCAAACAGGTGGACAGGGCCTCTCACCTATGATGGCCTCTTTCAAGCTGGACTCCACAGGCAGAATGTTCTTCTCCACCAGCTCCATGGGGCCAGGCCTCTGTGCAATCTTCTCGTTGAGGTCATCAGCCAATCTGGCTCTCTTCAACTTCAGCTGCTTGGCCTGGAGGGAAGGCTCAGCCGAGGTCTCTGCCCATGGAGAGAATGGGGGGTGGGGAGACAGGAGGATGAAGGAGTGGACCTGGTTCTACCTCGGGAACTCCAGAGAGCATAAGAAAGCCAAGTACCCCAGGCAATAAAGGTGGCTGGGCTTGATGTTTCACAGAAGGGGTCGCCACTGTGGGGATAGTATGTGGTCACGCACAATGGTCACCAGGCAGAGGCCAGCTCAGGGGACTCTGAGGTGGAGCTACAGAGCTGAGAAGAGCACCAGACAACAGAGCCATCTCCACCTCCCCTCAAGCCTACTATGTGACCGGGGCAATTCACCTCCCTGCTCTGGGTTTCAGTGTCTCCATCTGCAAAATGTAGGGTTCAGACAAGGAAAATTCTCTTCGAGTGCTGAAGAGGGCTCAGAACTAAACAAAAAAATGGGTAGAGTCATACTGCTTTTAGCAGTCAGACCTTTTCTCCACTGGAATGTGGAAATAAGGGTGTGCTGCAGCCAAGCAGAGTACGTCTAGGGTGCTCTTACTGGTAAGACACAGTAAACGCTGGATGGATGGATGGATGGATGGATGGATGGATGGATGGATGGAAACTAAGTTTTGGAGGAAAGAAATTCATAGGAAAGGATGATGAGACCCAGGGGCACCAAATGGCCACAGAAGAAAAGGGCCTGGTAGCCCAGAGAAGGTGATTATGCCTTTGGGAGTGCCCTAATGCCAGTGGCAACTGCCATAGCACTGCTGTTTTATGGTGAGGGCTCTGGTTTACCCACTGCCAGCTGAAAGGGGAGTGATCAGGAGGGAAGGAGAACTGCAGGTGGCACAGTGGTGGAGCAGGGAGAACCCAGGTCTAGATGAAAAATCATTTCCAATCTAACACACCTTCTAGAATGTGCATCCTGACCAGCTCCGATCTTTCAGGCCGGGAACGAATCTTCCGTTTCAGATAATCTTCTGTCTGTAGAAAAAAACCGACAACAGGCTCTCAATCCAGATCACAACACCTGGCATGAACAGGTGTTGGTCACCTCTGCGGCCCCCACAGTCTCAGCTCAAGACTGCAGGGTTCTGAGGCCAGAGGAGGCCGCGTCACGTCCAACTGCACTACCAAAGCCGCCAATCATCTGTCAAGACCATTTGTCTCTCTGAGGTTGAACTACTATTTTTTAATAGATTACTTTTACGACAATAAACTACATGCTCACTGAAGAAAATCTAGAGACTTAGAAAAAGAGTAAGACATTTTTAATCATCCACTGTTAGAATTTTGAGTTATTTGTTTCTAATCATTCTTCCACATAGAAGATAAGCTTAATTTTGCAGGGTTATAATCATACTGAAGTGTAATTTTATATCCCGTTTCAAAATTTTTAGCATTGCATCATCTCATGAGCATTTTCCATTCATTCTGAAGAATGCCAAATGGAATACTAATTTTGAGACATGCTGTTATAGTTATAACATGCTGTTACAGTTCCTTAAAACCCAGTGTCCTCAATTTTGCATTTCTGAGACTCCAGGCAAACTAAACCATTCCAGAGAGCCACCCCACTGCCTCGTGCCAATGTTATAATAAATGTGTGACCCCAGATGTGTCTGATTTCAAAGCCTATGCTCTTAACTTCTGTACCACTGTTTTTCAAAACCCTAGGTCAAGATCATTAGTGGGCAGCACCAGCACAGGACAGAACAGAATAGAATGGAAGAAAATTGCAAATAAAAATAGCACAGCACACTCCATGTAGTAAAGGTAAAGATTTGGCCCCCGCCCTGGGGGTCTGCGGCCTCAGTTCTCCAGATGAGCAGCAGAGTGCCAGCCTTAGGGTGGTGCTGAGCTCTCCAGGAGATGGTTCCAGATGCCCTGGGGAGGGGGCTGATCACCCATCTACAGTGGGCAGAAGTATTACATGGCTGCTGAGAAGATGGTAAAAGGCACTGGACACTGCAGGTCTTCACGGCCCTAAGAGGAGTATTTTCTGACTAAGGGAAGTTCTAGACAGCAGCCAGCACTGATTAAGAGAATAGCTGGAGTCCACAGGCCAGCCCTGCCAGTTACTAGTTAACCTCTCTCAGCGATACCTATAAGGAAAATCACCCCTCATTCGGAAGAACTGATGATAACAAACAAGAAATTGCTAAAACTTCACATATAAAAGTGCTTATTAAATAACAGTTGCTGTAATTAGTTAATATTTGCCCCTTGCCTACTTAAGAAGCAGTCTAGGAATCACTGCCAAGTCTTATGACTGGTTTGGGGGCACAGGCAATGCCACCTTCCCCCTAACCCCGTATTCTCTAACCCAGCAACTGAAACAGGGTAGTTCATGACTGCCTTGGCTCCCAGGACCCATGACCTCATCTTCCCACTCATTCTGAGCACTAATCAAGATTTTCCTTAGAGAAAATTTTAAAATAAAAAGACAACAGTAAGAAAAGTCTCAGAGGCAAATAATTCAGTCTCTGAAAAAGTGTGGGTCTTAAGGAGCTCCAGCCTGTGAGTCTCCGTTTGGGGAGGTTCTCTTCCCTTGTCTGCTACATAAAGTGAAGAGGGTGGGAGGGGGAAGCATGTTCTGGCGACTTCCCCATCTCCACCCACACTGGGCAGCAGAATATCCCCCCAAGGCCCCGGAGGGAACTGAAACTGACGGGGACAGGGGAGCAAGCCAGGTGCTGCAGCATGAACCTGGGCTCAGACAGGGGCCAGCTTCTGCTTCCACAGCCTCAGCAGACACAGGGTGGGGGCGTGGGGGGGGCCGACACACACAGGGACCAGAAAGGTTCCCTGTTCCTTAGACTGTCCCCCCTGGACAGATGTGGGCAGCGCAGTCATGGAGGGACACTACTCAGCAAGCATTCCCTTGGCTGGTGTTCATATCCCAACATCTACAAAAGGTTAAGCGGAATTAATGATGGGGAAATAGTAGTGGTCTCCAAAGCGAGGCGGAGAGAGGGGGTCGGTATATGCCCTTAAGTGCACTAAAAAGAGGAAGTCTCTTTGATCGTGTTCCTTACCATCAAGGTGAGAGGTGGCTGGGGATGGGGATAGGGATGAAGCAGGAAAAGCAGAGCCCTCTGAGCCAGGGCTGACGCTGGACTCAAAGGAACACAGGCCCTGAAAACGCTCCGTGGCCGTCCCTGGGGAGGAACGGCGCCTTACCCTGGCCCGCTCCAAGCTCCTTCTCTGCTCATGAAACGCAGCTGGACTTTTCAAAGCTGTTGGGAGAAGAATCAAAAAAGAATTACTTTATAGTGAAAGATCACGCCTACTACTATAATTTACAGTGAGAAGGTGCCTTAAACTCAAGTTAATTTTAGCAGTGCTACTAGCAGACGCTGAAATGCAGACAAAAACGGCACCTGAGCAAGCATTTATCTTTATGGTTGAGCTCCCCCATTGAAACTGTTCCGGTTACTTTCTTGCTAGGAGAATTGTCATGGCCTAGGCACGGGCGCTACCACCTGTGCCCACCCGAACTACACCCGAACTTCAGAAAGTGCCAGGCCCTGCTGCTCCACGGCAGCCGCACAGCCCTCCCCACAGTAGGTCTCAAAGACACCTGCCAGGAGGCGCATGCACAGGGAGGGCAGGCCTGCAGGTCAGGCCCCCTTCACCTCTTGGCCCTCTGTAGGAACCACAAGTGACCAAACTGTGTAAATGGGGCAGTTAAAGCAAAAGGACATGCAGCCACTTGGGTGCCATTTCCTTCTTCACTTCAGCTGCTATTAATAGCAGTGGCTAAAATTAACCTGAATTTCATCTCAAAGGACTAAAAGAACTTCACAGTGATGGTATGGCTGACCCCGGTGCACACGATCAGCAGCTGACAAGAAGGGCTGGCCGCAGTCGCCATCAAGGTTGAGGCTCTATTCTGGGGCTACCACCACTCAGACCACAGGGCTCCACTCAGCAAACACGCTGAGGAGGGCAGATGAAGGCAGGGTCCTCACAAATGCAGCACTGGAGGAGAGTTTTCTTGTTAAAAACTCAGCTGTGAGGACAAAGGATAAGTTGGGACACCCTGAGGCTAAGGGGGAAATGACTTGACTCACTTCAGGTAGGGAAGCCAGCAATAAGGGAGAAATTACAAGACGTTGGTCAGTTTCACTTCTGCTGCCTAGCATTTCTGAACAGCTGTGAAACTGTGTGCGGAGATAACTTTTGCCAGGCTGCTAGCTGTGGTGGGAGGGCAGGGGCGAGGAGACGCTAAAAGTAGCAAGCGCACAGATAGGACCCTATCCTGCCCCGGACTCTGTGCTTCCTCCTCACACCCCACCCTGTGGAGGCTGGGCCTTAGCAACAGCATCCCAGAAGAAAGTTCCAAATGTCTTTTTCGAAAATTTAAATCTTGGGCCTCCTCGGTGGCGCAGCGGGTTGAGCGCAGCGCTGTGAAGCTGTCCACAGCCTCTGCACTGTGGGTTCAATTCCCAGCCGGCCAGGGAGATTCCCACATGGCGAGGCAGATCTCTCCTGCCTCACCCGCTGCTCCCCTCAGCAGTGTACTTCAGTCGTTCTGCATGTTCTGTTCCCCACTCTGTCTCTGGTGAATCCTCTCACCCTCCCGCGCCTCTGCCTGTACCCCAGTGCTTGTATAAATAAATAAAAAAAAATTTAAATCTTCTGGAAAGATTTTTTCTAAGTCTTAGGATAAAAAAGAAACCACTTTAAAAGATCTGCTGAGACCCTACCCGACTCCTAACAGCAGGGGGAGCTCTAGATTTAACAAATCATAATCGGCACAGCTCCAGGAAGAACCAGCCCAGGCTCCGGCCCCAGCTGGCTGGAGCATTCCAGGGCACTCACTAGCCAGGAAGTCCCAGTTCCAAGCTGGGCAGGCCCGTACTGCGCATCTCAGTGGGCGAGCACAGCCCCTGCACCGGCTTCTATGAGGTAAAGCCGGCTCAACTCTGAAATCAGTCTCCAAAAGCCCTGATCAGCAGGCATCTGTGCTGGGTGTAATGGCCCAGCAGGGAGTGAATATACAGCCTCACTCTTGCAGAGTTTATCACATGGGTGAGACATTAAAGGCAATCAAAGAAAAAATTCGCAGTGTTCACCCACTGCCCTGTGTGCCTGACCCTTTCCACAGCACTCACTGACTGACATTCTTCACAAACTCCTATCTTCCTTAGGTGGTGGTGTCCGTCTCCCACCACTAGAACCACCTCCATCATGACAGGGATGGGGATTAGTCTATTTCTTTCATGTCTACCAGTATCCCTAGTGCTGAGAGTACCCAGCACAGAATTCATTCAATAAACGAATGAATTGTCTATAGGACGTGATTACAAAGTGGATACAGCAGCAAATGGCTGTGCATAATCGACACACCTCCGGCGACCATGCTAAGGGAATGAGACAGAGAAGCACAGCAACACACAAAAAAAGGTTTTAAAGTTTAAACTTCAGTCCCCTGTAGAGACCCCCAAAAAGAGTCCAAGTTAACCTGTGAGGACGGGTCCAAGTGGGAAGGTACAATCACCCTGCACCCCCTCCTCCCCGCCTCCCTGCTGCCTCCATGACTGCCAGAGGGGTCAGAATATTACTCAGAGATTTCATTTCCCCAGAAACCCCTAGAAGGCGGTCAAAAGAGAAGCCCCCCAAAACCAATGCAAACCAAGAGCTGTGCACACAATTTACAGGAATACATGCTGCTCGTGCCGGAGAGCACTTCTGGACCCCTTCAGAGCTGGTTCCGCTGGATCATCTGCCCCACTTTGTGTGAACAGAGGGAATTTGAATCATGTACTGGAAGGAAAAATAGCCAAGTTCCTCTCAAATCGAAAGAACAGAAGTAGCTAAGGGGCGTGGTGTTCTTAATCAGAGTTTCAGATTTAGATGTTGGTCCCATCCCTGGTAGGCTGTGGCCACCAACTAATATTCTATTCCCTCTCTCCTTATTCTTGCCCTCGCCCTTATTCTTGCTCCCCTTGCCTGTCTGCAGCCTTAATTAAATTAGGTCATTTGTGAATTAGAAAAAGAAATATGTGTCAATTTTCTTAAAACAAACCTGGGCCTCCCTGGTGGCGCAAGGGGTTAAGCACTTCACGATGAAGCAATCCGAAGCCTCTGCAACGCGAGTTCCATCCCCGCTGGCCAGGGAGCAACCCACATGGCGCACAGACCTCTCCTGGCTCGCCCGCTGCTCCCCTCTGCAGTGTATTTCAGTCAGTCTGCCTGTTCTGTTCCCCACTCTGTCTCTGGTGAATCCTCTCACCCCCCGCATCTCTGGCCTGTACCCCAGCTCTTGTATGCATAAACAGATAAATCTTTAAAAAAAAAAAAAACTGCTCTCCACTTGCAAAGCAGAGCTTGCCCCATGCTCCGCGCATCTACGGGCTTCCTGGTCCACAGAGCTGGTGCATTCTGGGAGGGACTGGTCTTCACTGTAAAGAACAGCAGTCAATACAAACCCCCTTAAAAGTCAACAGATCGGGCCTCCCAGGTGGCGCAGTGGTTGAACACTAGGTTGTGAAGCTGCCCGCAGCCTCTGCAGCACCGGTTCAATCCTCGGCCACCAGGCGAGGGTCCCACATGGCGCGCAGACGTCTCCTGCCGCCCGCTGCTCCCCTCAGCAGTATATTTTGTCCACCTGCCTGTTCTGCTCCCTGCTTTGGCTCTGGTGAATTCTCTCACTCTCCCGTGCTTCTGACTGTACCCAGTGCTTGTATAAATAAATAAATCTTTAAAAAAAAAAAGTCAACGGATCTAGGCCTCCCCGGTGGCGCAGTGGGTTGAGGCATTGTGAGGCTGTCTGCAGCCTCCGCAGTGCAGGTTTGGTTCCTGGCTGGCAGGGAGATGCCCACATGGCAGGGCAGACCTCTCCTGCCTCACCCCCCCTCCTGTGCCTCTGGCCTGTACCCCAGTTCTTGTATAAATAATCTTTTAAAAAAAAAAGTCAATGGATCGGGGCCTCCCTGGTGGCGCAAGGGTTTAAGAAGCAGCCTATGAAGCTATTCGAAGCACAAATTCAATCTCCAGCAAGGGAGGAAACCCACATGGCGCAGCAGACCTCTCCTGTCTCTCCCACTGCTCCCGTCAGCAGTGTATTTCAGTCAATCTGCCTGTTCTGTTCCCCACTCTGTCTCTGATGAATGAATCCTCTCACCCCTCACACCTCTGGCCTGTACCCCAGCTCTTGTATGCATAAATAAATAAATCTTTAAAAGAAAAAGTCAATGGATCACATTAATTTAGGTCCTCAAACCTGAGCTTTCCCACCAGCAGCCCTAGACTGACTTAAATATGCAGGCAAATGAAAATCTTCTAGGAGAAGAAAGCAGTGCTAGAAACACATCTCAACGAGGAATGAAAGCAATGGACCACCACGCCTCATTTCCTCCTCATTAAGGAAAATTTAATTTAGGTGCCTGGGCCTGAATGTCACTTTATTAGTGTTGACATAATAAAAACCATGGTTCCTATTCTTGTTAACAAATATGCCAGAGTCTCCCCACCAACCATGTACTCAGAGGAACTTCAAGGCTACCCCAGAGGACAGCTAACAGATAAACGCCCTGCCGTGGCCCACACAGCCCCCCTTGCAGGCAAGCCTGCGGGAGTCTTCCTCTACTGGGAAGCCGTGGGCAGACACACAGTGCCGCTGCAGGGCGAGCATGAGCACGGGGGCATACACACCCAAGTCAGGTGGGAACCCACACTCATCCACCCACCTACCAGGAACAGGTCTTAAGCACCCAGGTACTATGTATGCTAGGTTCCAAGACGAGGATATACAGGATGGGCTCCTGGGCCTCAAAAACACAGCTCATGGTTTGATCAGGGAAATGACAACCACAAAACAAGATGGACTGCAGTGACAGAGGCCATTCACAGGGATGCAGAGGACAGGAGCAGCAGAATGCAGCCTGAGAAAAGAGAGTGAACCGGTCAGGTAGGTTTTACAGAGAAAGCCCCAAGTGAATGGAAAAGAAACACCAAGGGGAGATAAGGGAGGCAGTGAGGTTTCCTCTGAGGTTGAAAGGGCACATGTTCAGTTCACGAGAGACACCAGCAGTCTGCCATGGCAGGACCAAGGCGTTCATGTGGGGACAACGAGGCTGGAAGGGGAGGCAGGCCCTGCTCATGACGAGCTTGATTGTGCTTTGTAGGGGCCTCTGCACCTGGGAAGACATAGCAGACACTATTCTCTATCCCTCCCGCTAAGTACAACTAAAAACTCTGCACACTGCATAGGTTCTGGAAAGTGGAGAGA